TCCTTGCCTGAAATACCAGCTTTCTGAAACAATTTTATAGTAATTGTTGGACTCAAGTGCTTTTTGCAAATAAATACATTTCCTAATTAAAATTTGCCCTTTAAAGACTCACATTTTCTTGGCCCCACTATAGGTTTTCTTTTTCTAGTAACATATCACAGAATCAATAAGGGCAATGCAAACATCTTTAATACATACAGTTTCAACAGCTCAATGTCTGCCTGTGTAAGAACACCTTCTCCTCCTCCTCAGCCCAGCTGACAATTTCACCTGACTTTTTAAATACCTTCTTATTCCACTCTCAAAGATAAAGCTTAAAAGGCAGTTAGTTTTCAAGGGGTGGGAGGTGGGTAGGAAGAGTGGATTGAAAAGGGATAAAGTGGAAGAGGGGGTATCACAGACATTTTTTTAATGACAGCTTTTTATTTTTATTATGAAAGTAATGAATGTTCATTGTGGGAAAGAGTCTGAAGAAAACATGAAGAATATATATATTCCTCATAGTTCTATCATCCAAAGGATGATAATTGTTGATATTTGGCATTTTTTTTCAGAGTTTTCTCCATAAGGATTTTAATTTAGTTAACAAATTTGAAGTTTGCTTTCTAAAACTTTTATGTGATAACACAGATGTTTTTCCATGGACTGAAAAACACTGCAAAAGGAAAAGACTAATAAAGAAAAACTTTAGAATGGTTGCATAATGTTCCAGCAAGCCTGCGCTAATTTACTTATCCTACTTGACCCTTTAGACCAGTGGTTCTCAACCTTGGCTGCACATTAGAATCACCTGGGACTCTTTTTAAAATCCTGATTTCTGAGCCTCATCCTCCGGAAATTCTGTTTCTTTGTTATGGGGTGGGGCCACAACATTAGTAACAAAGAAACAGAATTTCCAGAGGATGAGGCCCAGAAATCAGGATTTTAAAAAGAGTCCCAGGTGATTCTAATGTGCAGCCAAGGTTGAGAACCACTGCTTTAGGCTGTTTCAATTTTTTCCCATTATTACAAATAATGTGCTGCTGCTATACCCAATCTACTGTGTATTTTTCTGGGTAATTAATATGTGGGGCTGGCTGGTTGGAGGGTCTTAGGCTGAATTTTACAGTAGTGTTTCCTATGGCACAGAGCAGCCATACAGGACATTCTCAAGCTAGCTATAGAGTTAGGTTACAATAAAATAACACCTGACCTTACTTTTCCCTCTAACCCAGTGGTTCTCAACCTTGGCTGCACATTAGAATCACCTGGGACTCTTTTTAAAATCCTGATTTCTGGGCCCCATCCTCCGGAAATTCTGTTTCTTTGTTATGGGGTGGGGCCACAACATTAGTAACAAAGAAACAGAATTTCCGGAGGATGAGGCCCAGAAATCAGGATTTTAAAAAGAGTCCCAGGTGATTCTAATGTGCAGCCAAGGTTGAGAACCACTGCTCTAACCCCTCCACTTCCTCCTGAATTCTCTTGACATTGAAGCAAATAGTGCCGCCCTCCACCTAAATATCCAAGCTTAAGAACTAGGAGTTGCGTTAAACTTCCCTTGCCTACCCCCATCCAACCAATCACCAAAATCTGTTCATTTTAGATCCTGGATCTCTTTTAAGTCTTTCCTCCCCTCTCCATCCTCATTGCAATTGCCTGAGTTTACTCTAGTGACCTAACTGATCATCCCTGTTCTTCCAAAGCCATGGTCTTTAATCCATTCCTCCACACTTTTGCCAGATTGTTCTTCTCAAATACACTTAAGATCACATGCCTCCTTTACTTAAAAGCCTTTCATATCTCTCTGCTCCCCACCCACACCCAGTACCTGAGCTTTCAGAATATTTGTGATCTTTAGCTTCCTTTAGGCCCCTTTGAGATCTAATTCTACCTACTGCTCTAGGCGTCACCCAGGCACTTCTTTCACATGCCATAATGAGTGCCTCATGCTTTGTCCATGTCCTTATACTATTACATCTGCTTAAAAAGCAACTCCCCTCCCTTCACGATCCAGCTAACTTCCTTGCCTTCAAAACTCAGCTTGAATTCCACCTCCTAAAGGAAGTCTTCCCCTCAAGGATTTGACTGGGCAGCCTTCTGAGTTCACACTGCCAATTCGTTAGGTAGAAATCCACCACACTGTGCCTCTCCTTAAAAGTGGGCATTGGACTTGGTTCATCTTTTTTAACCTCCAAACACTTCCGTTGTATATTTCCTAAAAACAAGAATAGTCCCCTATATAAGTGCAATAACTATCAGGATCAGGAAATTAACATTGATACGTACTGTTATCTAACCTATAGACTTATCTTAATTTTACCAACAACACCATTAATGAGCCAGTCCAGGACCACATGTTGCATTTATTGCCTTGACAAATAAGCCGTTCCTTTAATCTGGAATTGTTCCGGAGTCTTCTTTTTTCATGAATGTGGGATTTTTGATGAATCCATGACAGTCACTTCATCGAATGGTTCTCAATATGTGTTTGTCTGGTGTTTCTTCATCAGACAAACACATATCCCAGACATTAGATTCGAGCTATTTATTTTTGGCAGGAATACCACGGAAGTAGTGTTATGTCCTTCTCAGTGTTTCATATCAGAAGGCACATGATGTCTATTTGTCATATCCCCAGGGATGCTGACTTATTAATTACTTCGTGAAGGTAGAGTTGGCCAGGTTTTTTAACAGTAAAGTTACCATTTTCCCCATGGAATTCCAAAGATACTTTATATCTCATTTCCCATTTACTTTCACCTACTACGTTTAGCGTTTAGGCCTCCATGTCCTTGTGGGTCAAATGAGGTGCAAAGAATGAGCAGTGCATTCCAGAATTTTCCCTCTCAAGGATCCCATTATTATCTCCCCTTCCATGAACCTCATATTTTAAATGATTTTGTCCACAGAACACATGGTCTTTCTCAAGGAGTTATGGGACTCACTTTCCTATTACACATTCATCAGACATGTCTGCTGCATTGTATGCTCACAAAGGCAGGGCATGCTGGCCTCACCAGTGGATGCCCAGAGCCAATCACAGCACCAACCACAGAACAGGTGGTCAATAGATATTTGTTGAAGGACTGAAACCGCCTGCCAATCACAGCTATGCCCAGCAATTGATGTCTGCAGTGAGGACACACAATTGATAAATGGTATCCAAAGACTTGACATTTTAGTGAGTCTCAGAGGCTTTGTCACTGGTCAGTGTTCAGTTATAAATATTTTAAAAATAGATTTGACAGAGTGCAGGAAACCTCCTACCTATCCCTACTCCATCCCTGCCTTTCCAGCAGCTTCAGATAGATGTTGAAGGGGTATTCTAGCACCTCAAGGTTATAATTTCTGTGTCACCTCTGTAATCAACAGATGACAACTGGCTAGCCTCCTGACCACACAATAGAATTTAAAAAATATATATCCCAATCTTGCTTCACATGTACAGGTATATGGAATTAGCATTGTCACATTTTCTCCCTCATTTCCTTAAACACTTTAGATCAGTGGTTCTCAACCTTGGCTGCACATTAGAATCACCTGGGAATCTTTTTAAAATCCTGATTTCTGGGCCTCATCCTCCGGAAATTCTGTTTCTTTGTTATGGGGTGGGGCCACAACATTAGTAACAAACAGAATTTCCAGAGGATGAGGCCCAGAAATCAGGATTTTAAAAAGAGTCCCAGGTGATTCTAATGTGCAGCCAAGGTTGAGAACCACTGCTTTAGATCATGGAGATGTAATGTAGCAGAAGATCATGAAGGGAGTTTAACCAAGGGGTGGCAGGGAAGGAAATGAACATTAGTTGAGCATCTCCTATATGCCCAGTGCTTTTGTTCCTGTGCTTTCTCTGTTAATCCTTACTATAACTGGTGGGGTAGGTATCATTACCTGCCTTACAGATGAGAAAACTGAGGCTGGGTGAGGAGTAATGGCTTGCCCTAAGTCTTACAAAGGGCGTGCAGCTGGGTGTGGGGGGAGGGGAGGAGGGGAGGCAGGGAATTTCTCCAGTCTCTTTCTGAAGCCCTTGCAAGTAGCCACTGCTTGAAGCTGCCTCCCTCATCATAGAAAAACGTCCTTTTCATGGAAATGTGCTGGCGATCACGCTCCAGATATGCGCAGGACAAACATCTCTTGGACCACGCGCACTGCAGTTATTTTTTAAACGATTGCTATCAGGACTCGGTAGCTGTTACTGTGGTTTGGGGGAAGTTGTCCGAGGAAGGAGAGCCTTTCTTTTGGCGTCTTGCATGCCTGAGGAAGGAGCTCAAGTTCTCAGCTCTTAATTACCTCTGGCTGTGCTGCTGCAGCAACGCGAGAGAGACCATCCCTGTAGGGGGTGTGAAATAACATCGAGGGGAAGGCGGGGAGGGAGGCCTCTGGGACCTCAGAGAGACCCCAGTGGACAGGTAAAGGAGGGAGGAGAGGAGACCAGACAGTACTGCAGGGAAATAGGGGAGAAAGCCAAAGCGGGAGGAAAGAGAACAAAAGGCAAGAGGAGAGGAAGCAGAGGGAAGTCGGGACAAGGAAGGAGAAAGTTTTAGAAAGGGGTCCCGAAAAAGCAAGGGCGGTAAGAGGAGACCAGACCGAGTAAAATGAGCTGAGAGAATTCAGAGAATTGGAGAAAGAAAAGAAAAGGAGAGAAGATGAAGAAAAAAGCGGAGAGGAAGGAGGGAAGGGAACAGAGTAAGACATTGGGGAGAAAGGGACTCGGGTGAGCTGAAAGGCTGGTGCGTGGCCAGGGAAGAAGCGCATCACCTGCGTGGCGCCCCCCCGCGCCGTGGTGCGGCCCTGCTCCCAGCGCCTCGCCCAGCCGCGTAGGATTGGCTCCTGCCTCCCATTCATGTAACCTGTGTGTGCGTGTGTGAGTGTGTGTGTGTGTCTCTCTCGCTCGCCCTCTCTGTGTGTAAGAGAGCGAGGGTGGGGGACGGAGGGAGGCAGGCAGGCGAACAGGCAGGGAGGGGAAGAAGAGGAGGGAAGCTATTAAACACACACACACACACACACACACACACACACACACGCACACGCGCTCGCACACACACCCGCCCAACCCCCCAGAAGCCTCGGGATTGCAGCTGTTTCATGTGGGGCAGCAGTGCTGGCAGGGACGCCGGCCGGGAGCGGCTGGGAGCAGGAGCCCGGCGTGCGCGCGCGGCTGGAGGCTCGCTGGGGCTCCGCGCCCCGCGGGAGCTATTGTTGGTCTCATTGGAGCTGAGCGCAGAGCCGGGATCGGATCCTTCCTGCGCGCCCACTTCGGGCTCTAGGAGCCAAGGACCCGCGCCGCCGAGAGCGAGAGGAGCCGCCGGCGCTGTGCCTCGCCTTCCTCCTCCCTGCTTCCCCGGCGGCGGCAGTCTGCAGCCACGGTAAGGCGGCGCGATCCGCTCCACGGAAAAGCGCCTTGGGGACCGCGGCGGCGCCTCGCCGGCACTCCAGCTTCTCTGCGCGCACTGCTGTGGCTGGGTCGGGGCAGCTCGCGCGGACGCCAGGGGCTTCGGGGGACTCTTGCCGGTTCCCCTGGCCCGCACCGGGGGAGGAAGGGAGGGCGGCTGGGGCGCTATCCGGTCTGGAGCCCCAAGCCTCCGACGCTGCAGCCTGGAGCCCGCTGCGGACTGGAGCCTGGGAGCGAGGGTGAGGGAGAGGCAGGGTGGTGGGCGCGAACTCGGGACGGCCAGTGGAAGGGAGGCGGCGCGCCCCGGGTTCGTCTGTCTCGCCGGAGTCCCTTTCCGCCTGGGTCCCAGCGACCGCAGCCCCTCTGCAGAACCCCCCGCCCCAGGGCCCCAGCGGGCGCTGGAGGAGCCCGCGAGGCGGCGCCGGGCTCGGGCGGCTGCAGCCTGCCCTGCGGGGCGAGCGCCGGCAGCAATGGCCCCGCGCGTGCGGCGCTTGGAGCGGAGAATCCGGAGACGAGACCCCCAGCCCCTTGCCCTCTGCAGCGGGCGCGGTGCTCGCCCCTCCCCGCCCGCCGCCTTGCAGCAGCGTTTACGTTTCCCTCGGATCGAGTTGAGGCTGCAGCCGCGGGGCGGACACTCGGAGCACTCCGTGTGCGAGTGTGTGTGTGACTGCTAGTACCCAGGGCTCCGGGAAATGTGCTCTGGTTGAAATGTGATCACCGAGCTCCTTAGTCATTTTCTTCAAGACTTAAAAATGCAGCCTTTATATTGGAGGTGGTATCGCGGCGCGTGTGTGTGTGTGTGTGTGTGTGTGTGTACATGCAACCAGAGGAATACACAGCCAACTAGTAGGGGCCGGGGAGGTTCAACTGGTGAGTCCTCCTTGGCGGGGCGGTAGGGTGGGCTTCGCTGGCGGCTGCCCGCCGGTTCTCTGCTCTGCCCCCGCCTAAGCTAGGTTGGAAAGTACTGGAAATGTAACTGCGTGGTCTCTAACTTTGGAAATCGGCTCCCCTTTCAGGCGATTTGTGCACCCTGGTCCATGTGGACGAGGGCATTATTAGTTACTTGGGTACCGGCCCCTCTTCAGAACCAGGCCAATCACCCCTCTGGTCCCTAACAACCCCACCCCCCACCCCCCACCCCCCAGCCCTGGAGAGAAGGTTCGTAGATATGCAGTTATCCTTGAGCCGTCAATGCAGCGAAAGGGGCGAAGAGAAGCTGCCTGGGTTTTGCCGGATCCTGCCTACACTCTCGGTGTTTGAGGAGCCCATGAGATCGCCCTCCCTGCCGCTTTGTGGAAGGCCGAGGCGGGGCACGCTCCGGATCCGAGCTCTGGGTCAGGGCTACCCATGTGCTTAGCTGTGCGGCGGCGCATGCAGGGAGCTCTGCCGACCTGCATCGCGGGCAGTTACATAAACTGCCTCAGTGATTACCCAGCAGCGTGATGCCAGCAAAAGACAAGCCTGAAAGTTTGCCTGCTCAGGGAATGTAAGTACCCGGCAGGAGGGCGCCTGGCACCAGGCGGCGCCCACTTCTGCCAGGGGCGGTGAGTGCTGATGCCACTGTCCCCAAAGAACCAGTTATCCAGGCAGGTAGGGCATCCGGGACGGATCGGGTCAGAACTCAGGGTCCATGGAGTCCGCCGAGTCCGCGGGTGCATTGGGAGGGAGCCCTTCCGGGGAATGCTGTTTTAGGAAACTGACTTTGTGTCCTGGGGAACCTCAAAGCCCCTCCTCTCGGCCTCTCGGATCGCACCTCCCCATCTTTCACACCTCGCGCCCTTTCAGTGTTTGAAACCTGCCCCGAGATGCCTGGTCCCCTTTGGAGATGCCAAGCATCGCAGCCACCGGGGCCTACTCCGGCGGGGGGTTCAGAGGGAACGTGCTGGCCTCTGCCAGGGTCAGCCACCATTGTGTACTGAGCCTGCTTTACGGAGCCAGCCCGGCGCTGAAGGGGAGGGGATGGGCATGGGTGCGGAGTATGGCTTCCTTCGGCCCCTCTCCGCGGAGGCAGTTTGCTTCTGTTGCGTGTATCCTCCCTGTCTCGCTACTTCCCTTCACCGCCGCACCCTGGAGTACGCAGATGGTCGTTGATAGAGAAACCACAGCACTAGGGTGTTTTTAAATCTTGTTTTTCCCCTGTAGAGGGATAAGCCACCCTCGACCTGCAGGAGCTGCGCGGAACACTGAATGAAGTCTGGGGCACAGAGGCCCTGAACTCTCCCCAGCAGTTGGGAGGTGGTGTCGCTCCGGGTGGGGGGTGTTTTGCTACCCACATTCCAGCGTCCGGAAGCCCCGCACCCCCCCCTCCCCCCCCCCCCCCCCGAAATCCCGGGTCTGCCTCTGCGTGTTCCGCGCTGTAAAAGAAATCCTCCCTCTCGCAGACCTGGGGCCGTTCGTACTTCCTGCCGCTGCCATGATCATTAACAACGCGATTGCAAAGCTCGTGCGTGGCTGGAAGAGCTCAGGTGCCGGCCGGCCGCGCCCCGACCTTGCGGAAGGCGCCTTTCATCCGCCGCCAGAAGGGCTCAGGCTCCGGCTCCGCCACGGGGGTCCGGGAAGCCGGAGGGCGCTCGGGAGGCGCTGGGTTTGCTCCTGGGCCGGGCAGCAATGGGATCCTGGCTGGACTGCCGCGGGGAGGAGACCCGGATCCGCGGCAACCTGTTTCCCCGCGCGCAGGGGCGGTGCATTCCCGCTTCCCCTCCTCCGCACACTCCCAGTGCTGCCCTCCTCCCCGCCCGCCTCCGGCTGCTTCCCGAAATCTCTGGTTAGCTTCGTCAACGGAGGCTCCCTGGCCCTCTCAGCCGCCTGCTGCAGGGCGCCTCTGGCTTGGGGCTCCTAGGTGGGCAGAGCCACAGTTCTGGGGGAGCGGGGGGCCGCCGGGTGGGCGGGGCCTGGGCGGGAAACCCGAGCCCAGACCTCCTGGTGAAGCCACGTTCCTACCCTGAGCGCCCTGTGTTGCCCATCCAGGCTGCGCCTCCCTCCCTTCTCCTGGCCTGGCCATGGCTCTGGGGGTCCCGGCGCTGCAGGCGTCCTACCGCTCAGCTTTGCCTGGGAGCTCTCCTTGCCAAAGTTAGGAGGAATGTTTTCACAGGTGGTGGCGGTGGAAGCGTGTGTGTTTGTGTGTGCTTGTATGCATGCGTGTGTGTGTGTGTGTGTGTGTGTGTGTGTGTGTGTCCTGGGGATCGAGGGGTGCGAAGAGGCCAGACTTGCTCAAAGAGGTTTTCCCCTCTTTGTAGCCATTATAAGGGGATGGTGAGAAAGAACCAGTTTTTCTGGTGAGGGTGGTGACCAGAAGTCCTTTCATGTAGTGGAATTGGACCCTGGGAGCCGATTTCCTGGGTGAATGAGTGTTTCCCCTTGGTGGTGCCTTGCCTGCAATAGTCCCCGGGAATGTTTGGGGAATGTAACATCCCCTTGTTCTCAGGCAACACTAAGGAAACGGTTGTTCTTATAGTTTTAGGGAGCTAACTCTGAGAAGGCTTTATTCCCAGCACGTGTCTTTAAGTGCGTGGGGGCAGGGGACTGGTTAACCCATGACTTAGCCATCTTCTCCAGAGCTGGGTGGGGACTTTGTCAGGAATGGAGAGGCTCTGTTTTCAGGAGAGATATCTCCGATTCATCTGCCAGCACCCTATTCTCATCAAGGCCTCTCTTTGGGGGTGGAGGTAGAATGGGGCAGGGAGCCAATAAACCATCTGTGGACTGTAGGGGAAGAAGGGCCAGCTTTGCTCAGTGCTCAGCCTGAAGAAGAACCATCAGAGAACAGATAGATCCACAGCCAATGGGATAATTTGGAATATGAGGCAGTGAGCTCCCGGTGAAGCAGGTGTTGTAGTGGAACACTGGGCAAGTAGCAGTGGGTGAGTAGAACTCCAAGGGCTCTCCTCCAGCATATCTGACCCAGTGAGGTATAATCACCTCACCTCTGCACTTTTGTTGAAGCAAGTTGATGGGATATGACTTCAACCCCTTAACTTACTGGGTGGGCATTATGGTTGTATGGAACGTCACTTCTCTCATGTGTAACATGGAAAGGTACTGTCTAGTTTACAACTCTGTAAGAATTAATGTGCATAAACCTCTGACACATTGTAGGCCATTTACAGATGATCATTCCCATCTACCTCCTCTATCCCTTTCCAACATTGTGCATTTGTTGGGTGAGGGTTGAGCAGGAGAATCAACAGTCCCCTCCCCGCCCCAACCAGCAACATTGCACCCATAGTCTATTTAAAACTAGCTCAAATGCTTGGAACAAAAATATCTTCTCTTTTCTTAGAAAAGCCATTTCCAGTTTTGTTAGAATTTCTCCCTTGTTGAGTTCTTTTTTTTTTTTTTTTCTGACAAAATTACATTCTTTGTGCAGATTGGCATGTTACATAACCTGGTATTTCCAGATCAAAAGTTACACATATGGGTGAGAAGGTGGTTAGTAGTTTAAGATAAAGATTGTTGGGCAGCACAAGCAAGGGACTCAGGATGAGCACTCATACTCTACAATGATCATAGAGATTGAAGGAAAATGAAATTGAGAAAGTACATGGTGCAAGTCCTTACCTGGGTCCTGTCCAATTCTAATGACTAGCTACTGTTTTGGACTCAAGCCTGCTGATGTTCTGGTCCCAGTACATTCTCCCACATCCATGAATCTAAACAGTGAAGCAAACAAAAAAACAACAGAATTTAAATCACCTCCTTGAAGATTTGATTCCAAGAACCTAGAAGGTTAAATCAATTCCAGATCTAATGTTTACCTGGTTCTTACCTTGTTTATCAGCCTGGTTTATAGTAATGATAGCTGAATCCATCTTTGCTATGGGCCACTTTGAAAGTAACATGTGCCCCAGTTTCGAGGGAGCCAAGCACACATGGACCTCTGAAGTTTCAGTTTTCCATAAGGAAAGTTTCTAAAGAAACAGTATAGATGTAGGTGGTTAGTTCTCTGGGGGTTATAGATTTATTGCTTTGTCACAG